TGTACTAGGGTTTGTGTGTGGTATTTCAGAAATGCCACCTTCGATCATTAATTAATATAATGAATAATAAATAAATAAAAACAAATAAAGACACCAAACAATAAAAAACAACAAATAATTATGGGTACAACAACATCAGCACCTCAAGAATTTCCTGATAAAAGAAAAACAATTAAAATGATTAAACAACTAGAAGAATGGACAGAAAAAAGAGTAGGAAACATATTATTTGATTCAAATGTTCATAATTGGAATAGATTCACATCAGTATTTGATCTAAAATTACTTTATAAAAAACATATAATAATTATTGTTGAAGATACACAAGGAAATATATTTGGAGAGTATGTTAACTCTAAAATTGATAAAGTTGATGCTTGGATTAATGATCCACACGCATTTGTATTTTCATTAGAGTCAAAAGGAAGACTAAAAAAAATGATGAAATTTGATATTAAAGAACCAAAGTATGGATTTTTTATGGAAAGTTCATCATATGGTCCATTGTTTGATATTGGTTTTGGAAGAGACATTGGTGTTTATAAACAAAATTATAGCACAAAGTCATTTTGTTTACAATTTTCGTTTGAATACGATGGAATATCAAATGCCCTTTGTGGAAAACGAATATTCAAAACAAAACAAGTAATCGTAATTGAAATGAAATAATATTTTATTTAAAATGTAAGAAATAAAAGTATTTTCTATTCTTAACAATAGTTTTTTGTATCAAATAAGAAATTGGTAGTATTTCTTAAATATAGTATTATGAAAAAATAATTTGCACAAAACAAATAGTTTTATTGATAATAAATATTCTTAACCAACATATTAAAAATAAAGTCTTGAGTATATAATGAATTATTACTGAAAGTCTTCATCATGAATGAAATTCTTTGGATCAAAATCTTCCCCTAAATAATCATCATCATAATAATTTGCATAGTCATTAACATCTAAACCTCTTTTTACTCTATAATTAAATTGTTGATAAGATATGAATAAGTAATATGCAATAACAAGACAAATTAATATGAAAACAACAATAACAATAGTATCACAAATAATTTTATTGGTTTTGCTTTTCATCCAGAATGGTGGATTTTTTTCTCTTCGTTTTACATATTTTTCATGTCTTTTCTGTGCAATTCTATCTTCTTCTTCTTTCATTTTTTGTTCATGTTCAAGTACCTTATAATAATCTGTTGTATCAATCAAATAAAATGCAATTGTAGGAATCATACATACAGCCAACCACATGTAGAATCCTAATTGTTTAAGACCATTAGGAAAATGTTTTTCGAAACGAAGGAATTTGTATAGTCCCATTCCGATAATAGCTGCAATACATAGAATTGATAAAAAACTATCCCAATTATGATTTTTTAATACAAAAATCTTAAGGTAAAGTAATATTATACCATAAACAATCCATAACCCATAAAACACAGGCATGTGTTCTTGAACCCAATCACCTATCATGGCTAATAGAGAAGGTACAATGAATAAAAGTGGAACTATTCCAATAGCAAAAATAAACCATGCAACTTTTCTTCCAGTAGACATGGGAACAACTTCTTTCTTTTCTTTAATATAATCTTCATCTTTTGGGATATTACCTCTTCTTCTCACCATAAAACTAATAAATTATAGTTTTTTAAAGTTATGTTTTAACATCTTTTTTTACTATTAGAATATAATAAAAAAATCTTAATTGTTTATCAGTTAAAGACAATCCCCATTATTGAATCAAATGAAAAGAACAACTCAAAGCTCTAGTGAATGTCAAAGTAAAAGGACATACTGCCCATATGTAGAAACTGTTGACAGAAGTCTTATTGATTTTGATAAAGAAAAGGTATGTTGTAAAACCTTAAAGACAAATCAATTATATTGTTGTATGATTTGTGGAAAGTTTTATCAAGGAAGAGATGTTGGGTCTCCTGCTTATGTCCATAGTTTAGAAGAGAATCATCATATCTTTCTTTCTTTAAGTACAAAACAATTTTTTAATTTACCACATGGAAATGAAGTAATTGAAACATCATTTAAAGATATTATTAATGCATTAGATCCTGTATATACTTTAAATGATATATCTCATCTTGATGATGAAAGTAAAGTAATCCAATTAAAAGATCATTTTAATAAGAAATATATTATTGGGTATATTGGATTTAATAACTTAGGAAAAACTGACTCTATCAATTGTTTACTTCAAAGTATTGGACATTGTAAAGAAATTAGAAACTTATTACTTAATTATGAAGAAGTAGAAAAGGTATCATCGAAAGCAAAGTGTGGAGAGTTAATTAAACGAGTTAGTATGTTAATAAGAAAACAATGGAATTCAACAATAATTAAATCAGTAATTTCACCATATGAATTAATGAGTGAATTTAGTAGATTAAGAAAAAACTTTAGTATAGAAAAACAAGAAGATGTAATAGAATTTTATATGTTTTTCATAAATGCATTACTTCCTCTAACCCAATGTTTTCAAGGACAAATACAAATAGAAGAAGACGGAAAGAAATCTATTAAAAATTGTACTTGCATTCCATTAGACCTTCCTCCAATGCCTTTATATCCAGATCAAATGAAAGAAAAAATAATTCCTCAGTTGTTACTTAAAGATATACTTAAAAAATATGACGGTAAAACAGACACACTTATTAGTAAACGTAGTGTGAGGTTTTTAATAAAAACATTACCAAAGTATTTAACATTCGTTATTAAACGGTTTGAGAGAAATACTTTTCAAGGAGAGAAAAATATTACTGTTGTTGAGTTTGAAGATACTTTAGATATGTCGGATTATGTAGTTAATGATTCAAGAAAACAACAAACCAAGTTTGTCTTTTTGTTACTTTTTTTATAAGGTATTATTATGCTCATTAATTAGTTATCATTTGGTATCAGCAATAAAACATGATGGAGGTATTGAAGATGGAACATACTCCTCCTTTTTATATCATCAGTCTTTAAAAAAATGGTTTGAAATTAATAATGAAGAGGTTAAAGAAGCATTCTTCCCATTAATTAAAGTATCAGCAATATGCTTGTTAATATATGAACAAGATGAATAAATTAGTTTAAAAAACTTCAGCTAAAATTTAAGAATTAGGATATGTGTCTATTAATACATATAATTAATAACAGTCAATGAATTTACAAGTAATTTTGGTTAAATAATGACTTCTAATTAATAATGATTTTATTATTTTTTGCTAGTAAATACTATGTCATCCATTAACTTTTATCAGCACTAGATATAAAAAAAACAAACACAATTAGCTATACTTATCCAATTATTAATGTAATAATGATGAGAATGTTATATTCAAATTAATAAAATTGGTTATTATACAAATAAGTCATAACATAAATGAATTTTAACTAATAAAAATTATTTTGTTACCATGTAATGTAATAGTTGTTGATAATGTATTATTTCAATATAATATTAACATAAGAAATATTTCAATGTTTAGTGAAAATCTTAGTATAAATTTTGTAAGTTAAAAAGAGCTTTCAATGAGCAAACAACTTTACTTAACATTCAGAACATTTATGATTCAACAACTTTAAATATGGTTTTTCATTTAATTCATTGTGTTCAAAATTTATAAACAAGAATATTTATGTCTTAATTTAAAATCAAAAATATTTGTTACAAATTGAGTGTTTGGATTTGTTGATGTTAAGAAATTAAACCTAAACAATTATAGTCTAGTAATTATATTTTGTATCAACAAAAAACTACTATATCCAAAGACTTAGAAAACTTGACTTGTTATTAACACCAACAATTTTTATAACATTATCAATTCTTTCTTATAATAAACTTTTATCAATAGTTACTTCTTAAATTCATCTTCCTGTAAAAAATGTAAAGGTTCATTTTCTAGAATATCAAATTTTTGAGTAAGATAAAATATGGAAATAAAAAATGAAAGTAATAATTAACCAACACATTTGCCATTTACTTTATAATTTACAGAAATATATTATTCGAGACAATTAGTCATATGTTCTATCTTAGAAATTATGTTATTTTCAATTAAACAGACTTTTTCAATGAAACATGAAAACAATTATTTATAACCCTGTCATAACCCACATCTCATTCATTTGATTCAACTGGTTCTATTGCCAACAAAGTTTTGTTTCGTAACTTCTCACGCATTGTTCTATTATTATTTTCTTCAACAAAGCTTAGCTGTTAATAAATTTCAAGTTTGATAAAAATGGTTGTTTTAGTAATAAGTTAGTGTATAGCCATATCAGCACAAGTTATACGTCTTGCATCACAGTATAAAAACTGTAGGTGTTTATGGATTAAATTTAATGAATAATAAAAATACTTAGATATAATATCCAAGTTTTCTTTTCATTGAATAAGCATTGTTATGATGTTTTAATATTTGGAAATGTTTATAAAGTCAAATTAGCATACTACCAAAGGATAGTATAATTTAATTATTATCTTTAATTGGTGGATGGTTATTAGTTAATGAGTTATATAAGTATTTATGAAGTTAATTAAAGTCTCATTTCAAACAAGTATTATTATATAGTTCCTAACAAATCAATATATTGTTAAGTTAAACAGTCATCATCTATTTATCTTTATTCCCCATCAATTCTGTCATTGACCTAATCAAATTTTAGTTATAATCTATATTCAATGATACTTTATTCCCTTTCTTGAAATACTTCCAACAATACTCTTTTTCTTTTGAGTTAAATTAACTTGTCAATCAATAATCATTTCAAAATTCATCAGTTATGTTAAATTCATCTTACAATTCATTTTAAGATGGTTGAAGAGTGTTGGAATAAAATCACTACAACAGCTGAAATATTTCAAAAATACTGCTCAGAAATTGGGGTTGATGAGATTCACTTTGAGGATGTCTACTCTTTAGAAGAACAATTGGACAAAGAAACTAAAGGGTTTATAGTTAGCCTTCCTTATCCAATTCAAAACATACACTTTTATGAAAATAATTACCAAACAGAACATCACCCAATTTTTATTCAACAAACTATTGGTAATATTTGTCCATTAATGGCAGTTATTCATATTTTGATTAATTCCCCTTCTGTTAAATACCAAAATGATGGGGTGTATGGTCGTTTTGTTCATTCATTACAACAGGCACAAACGAAGGAAGAAATAGCACAATGTTTCCAAGTATTTAAACAAATTCATTTGCAAATATCAAGAAAGTGTAGTACAAAAGAAGATGAAGAACGAGAAAACACACATGAAGTATACCACTGTATTGCCATTATTCCATTTAATTCATACATTTTTGTTTTAGATGGGAGAAAAGGAAGTTATTGTGTTCTTCCATTACCTTCAAGGTCATCATTTGTATCACAAGCACTGTCATTTATTTGTAATAATGCACCATCAAATGGACTATTTTCAGTAGTAAGCCTACGTTAAACTGTCTTTAATTCATTTAGTTTATTTTATGATTTATAAGAAGTTGGTATTTAATGATTAAGACAAACACACTCATTACTAACCAAAAATGAAAATTTGAAACAAAAACTACAAAAACATCTTCAGGTTTGGATGGCAGAAGTGCCTTCTACATTCAAAAGATCACCTTCAAGCCTTAATACTTCTCAACAAGTTTCTATACTTCAAAATGAAGGATCGAATAACAATGCCCTTGAGCGATATACCCAAGCAAAATTATTTAGAAATAGTCTTAAAAACTTAAAAAAGGCTTTGGATAAAGAAGTTGGAATTATTAGAAGTATGAATTTAAATGAATGTGCGAAAGCTGTTGCTGAATTAAAAAGTACAACAGAAGAACATTCATATGTTAGAGCAGTGTTATGTGAATTTGAAGCATCAATGAGATTATTAAATGAAAAATTACAAAATGCAGTAAGCCTTATGGAGAAACAATGTTTAGAACCAATGAAAAATTTTATTGATTATGACTTTAAAGATATTCATTCATTGAAACGACAATATGATGAATATACTACATCACGTTCATCAAAACCAACTCAACACAAAGAAAAAGGAAAAAAAATTGAGGAAATAATACAATTATTGAATGATAAGATTGAAGAGTTTTCATTAAAACAAGAAACAAAATTACTTGAATATCTTAGCCAATTCTGGATTGCAATGCAAGGATTAGGTAATTGTAAATTAACTCATATGGATGAATTGGCTAAAGAAATTTCTACTAAAAATCGAACAACAAAAAAATTGGTCAATGCAACTAAAGAAGGTCATTTGTTCATTAAAAAGAAATTTGGGTGGGTTTCAAATTACTTTATTTTAAAAGATGGTAAGTTAATACATTATCGGTCAAGTGATAATTTCTTGATTTATGACTTAGTTATTTGTACTGTTCGTTTAGCAAAAAATGGACATGAAATTTGTGATGATAAAAGTAATAAATTTGAGTTAGTCGTTGCTAATCCAAAAAAAATGAAAACTATTTTGTTAAAAGCAAATAGTTCAGAAGAACGGGCTGAATGGATGGAAAAAATTACAAGTGAAATTCAAAATGCCTTAAGTCAAAATGACTCTACTTCTAAATCAGGAGGTATTGAAAGAAGATATAAAATTACTTGTGTAAATTCTACTACAACAGAATTATCTAGAATTACTGGTATTTTATCAAGTATTCCAGGAAATGATCGTTGTTGTGATTGTTTTTCACCAGACCCTGATTGGGCTATTATTAATATGGGAATATTAGTATGTCAAAAGTGTAGTGGAGTACATCGTGGATTAGGTGTTCAAATTTCTAAAGTACGTAGTCTTGTATTAGATGTAAAGATATGGACACCAGAATTAATTCAACTATTTATTAATCTTGGAAATAAACGAGTTAATTCTTTGTTAATGGGTACAGCAACTCAAGAAGACTTTGTTCAATTTAGAACGATTCAATCACAAACTCAAAGAGAAGTATTAATTAAAATGAAATATCTTAATGGTAAATTTGCTGTATTTGATATAAAAAGAAGCGTAGGTAAAATTGAACCAAATGAACAATCATTAAAACCAATAAGAGGTCACACAAAAGCATTTAGTATAACTTCTACTAGTGATTTAATTAGTGAAGATAAAAAAACTTTAAAACAAAAAGAATTACCACATAACTTGTTATTACTTAAAGAAATTATTGAAAGGAAATTAACTTTTGAAAAATTAACTTTAATGGTATATGAAGGAGATATTGCTAATATTCTTCTTGCAATTTTAAATGACTTTGATATAAATGCAAAAGATAAACATGGATGGACTTTATTACATTATGCTGCTTGGTTTAATAAAAGTCATATCTGTTCTATGTTAATGAGATATAATGCAAATGATGAAAGTTCTGATAATAATGGATTAACACCAATAGTTGTAGCTAATTTTAATCATGCAGATGAAGCAGTAGATAGTTTAACTGGAATAGAACCTATTCCATTTTCAATAAATGATGTCAACTCTAAAATTATGGAAGAAAATACTTTTGAAGAATTACAATTTAAAACATATCCTATTGTATTATATCCTCAACTCTCTGTTAATGAACAAACAAAACACCGACAATTTAGAAGTAAAGATGGTTATTTTGTTAAACCACCTCCGAGTTTAATAACATCTTCCCAACTAACATCATTATCTCTTTCAAACAATGAATCACCAAATTTAATACAATCACCAAATAAACAAAATAAAGTTTCTATGTTTAAAAGAAGTCAGTCATCTAAAAAATCAAGTATTCAAGTACATGCACCTTCACATTCTGAAGATAAATTTTTTGAATTAACAAAGTAATTTACTCATTTCTCATTTAAAAATGTTTTATTAAATTGTTGTTATTTAAAAAATTTTATTTTAGGGTTTTCCATTAATTGAATAATTTAATTTCTTTTCTTCTTCTCTACTTCAATTAAAGGAATGTTATAATAAAACTATTAAAAACTATAAATTTACCCTCGACAAGAACTGGAAAAAAGGAGGAGTAGAACTCGAAGGGCATTTTGAAAGCATGGGACGTTGTTTAAGAAACCACAG